TCCGCTGACAAACGGAGCAAAACTGAGTGGATTCTGGACTCTGGTTGTACATTCCACATGTGTCCTCACAAAGACTGGTTCGTCTCTCTGGAACCGGTTGATGGTGGAGTTGTCTTGATGGGTAATGATACCCAATGCAAGGTTAGTGGAATTGGAAGTGTTCAGATTTAAACTCATGATAATGTTGTCAGGACTCTTACCAATGTTCGGTATATTCTTGATTTGAAACGCAATCTGATATCCTTGGGCACCTTGGAATCTCTGGGGTGCAAGTACATAGCTGAAGGTGGAGTTCTGAAAGTCATAAAAGGCTCTCTTGTTCTCATGAGAGCTTCTCGATCTGGAAGCTTGTACGTGTTGCATGGCAGTACTGTGACAGGTTCAGTAGCGGTATCCTCATCGATGTCTGATGCAGATCTCACTCAACTATGGCATATGCGTCTGGGGCATATGAGTGTGAAAGGCATGCATCTCCTGAGCAAGAAAGATCTCCTTGGTGATTCAGGTACGGGTAAATTACAATTTTGTGAGCATTGTGTTTTTGGGAAACAAAAGAGGGTTAGTTTCTCTACTGCTACACACTGTACCAAAGATGTATTGGAATATATACATTCCGATTTATGGGGACCGACTAAATTCCAGTCTATGGGAGGCTGTAGATATTTCATGTCTATTATTGATGACTTTTCTCGTAAGGTCTGGGTCTATTTCTTGAAACACAAAAATCAAGCTTTTCCTTTTTTCAAAAAGTGGAAAATACTTGTTGAGACTCAGACAGGGAAAAAGGTCAAGAAGCTCAGGACAGACAATGGCCTGGAATTCTGTGAGTCAGATTTCAATGACTTCTGTGCCGGCAAATGGAATCGCCAGGCACAAGACCTTGCCTGGTAAATCCCAGCAAAATGGTGTTGCCGAACGTCTAAATGGGACATTATTGGAAAGAGCTCGTTGTATGCTCTCTAATGCTGGGTTATGGAAACGGCGTGATTTTTGGGCCGAGGCCGTTTCTACTGCTTGCTATTTGGTGAATAGATCTCCACACTCATCCCTTGATTTCAAAATTCCAGAGGAAGTTTGGTCAGGTAATCCTGTTGACTACTCTATCTTAAGAGTTTTTGGATGTCCTGCTTATGCTCATTCCAGTACGGGTAAATTAAACCCGAGAGCTGTCAAATGCATTTTCCTTGGTTATGCCTCTGAGTCAAAAGGGTATCGTCTATGGTCTCCTGATTCTCAGAAAATCATTCTGAGTCGAGATATCACTTTTGACGAAAATGCACTACTTTCTTCTGGAAAAGATTCCAGTACAGGTGAGACGCATAGTACTGATGATAAGGTGGAGTTTGAGTTCAGGCCTAATGATAATATTACTACCACTAATGGTAATACTAAAGATGATGCATCTACAAGTACCGCACCTCTCGTCGAGCCACAGCGAGAGTACTCTATTGCCCAAGATCGGCCTAGGAGGACAATTAAAAAACCTGCTAGGTACGCTAGTAACGATGAAACCCACTTGGTTGCTTATGCTCTTTCAGTTGCACAGGAGGTTGATGGTGATCCATCATGCTATTCTGAAGCTATTTCCTGTGCCAACTCATCCAAGTGGTTGGTTGCTATGCAAGAAGAGATGGAAAGTCTCCATAAGAATGAGACTTGGGAGCTGGTAGAATTGCCGAAAGGTAAACGCCTATTGAGTTGTAAATGGATTTACAAAAAGAAAGAAGGCATTCCTGGAGTTGAGAAAGCACGGTGGAAGGCACGGTTAGTTGTTCGAGGTTTTGATCAACGTGAAGGTATTGACTTTAATGAGATATTTTCTCCAGTTGTTCGTCATACTTCTATACGTGTTCTACTTGCTTTTGTTGCTCTTTTTGATATCGAGTTGGAGCAACTTGATGTAAAGACTGCTTTCCTACATGGAGAGCTTGATGAAGAACTTTACATGTACCAACCTGAGGGATTTGAAGTTCCTGGGAAGGAACATTGTGTCTGCCGTCTATAAAAGTCTCTTTATGGGCTAAAGCAAGCTCCAAGGCAATGGTATAAGCGGTTTGATGCGTGTATGTTGGGGCAAGGATTATCAAGAAGCCAGTATGATAGCTGTGTCTATTTTAAAGAATTTTCTAATGGATCTTTTGTCTATTTGCTTCTTTATGTTGATGATATGCTCATTGCTTCCCCTGATATGTCTCTGGTTTTGACTTGAAGTCTCAACTAAGCAATGAGTTTGAGATGAAAGACCTTGGTACAGCAAAGAAGATTCTTGGCATGGAGATACACAGGGATCGTCAAGCGGGTAAACTTTATCTATCCCAGAAAAAGTATGTTGAGAAGGTGCTTGATCGATTCAATATGTCCAATTGTAAACCTGTGTGTACTCCACTTGGTGCACATTTTAAGGTATCCTCTGTTTCATGCCCAAAGTCTGATGCTGATGTGGCTTATATGTCAAAAGTTCCTTACTCTAGTGTTGTTGGAAGTCTTATGTATACTATGGTATGCACTAGACCTGATTTGGCTCATGCTGTAAGTGTTGTGAGTCGTTACATGCATAACCCTGGTAAGGAACATTGGAACGCCGCTAAATGGATTCTACGGTACCTAAAGGGTACTTTGTCTTTGGTCTTGGTTTTTGATCGAAATTCTTCTGCATCTACTGACATTGTGGGCTTTGTAGATTCTGATTATGGTGGTGATCTTGACAGATGTCGATCGCTTTCCATTTATATTTTCACTCTTTGTAATTGTGCTATCAGTTGGAAAGCTACGCTTCAGTCTATTGCTGCGTTATCTACGACTGAGGCGGAATATATTGCAGCCACAGAGGGTGTCAAAGAAGCTACTTGGCTACGAGGTTTGGTTATGGAACTTGGTGTTTCGCAAGGTCAGGCCGTTGTGTTCTCAGATAGTCAAAGTGCTATCCATCTCACCAAGAATGATACATACCATGCCAAAACCAAACACATTGATGTCAGATATCATTTTATTCGAGATGTTATAATTGCAAGAGATATCACCGTTCAGAAGATTCATACATTGGAGAATCCAGCAGATATGCTCACCAAGCCTCTACCTATTACTAAGTTCAAACAATGCTTGAATTTAGTTGGTTGTTCCAGTTGTTAATTCTCACATTGAATTTGATCCAAGGTGGAGATTGTTAGAAAATAATATTTTTATGTCTCAAATCTATGAAGAATTGGTCTCTCGCAATTGCCCGCGTCGTTTGCAACCTTGCGTCATGCTCCTACACGTTCCTCCGGGTTTTGCTCTCATTGTTTGCTTGCCGTTTTTGTCTCTTAGTTCTAGTGTATAAATATGTTCAATATTTGCCTTGTAATTTGTACTAATCAATATCAATTCACTTTGAATTCATTTCATTCCTTCATTATCTTACACGTAGCATATATATTATATTCATTATTCTAATACTCCTTGATTTAATATATATATATATATATATATATATATATATATATATATATATATTCTCTTTATTCCTATTTAATTTGTTATTTATATATTTTTCTTATTATTTAACTTCTATAATTCTCAATTTTCGATTATTCGTTTCCGCATTATTTCGATATATTCCTAACAGATCTAATTCTCGTTATTGGCCTATGAGAGGATGGATCTAATTCTCGTTATTGGCCTATGAGAGACTGACTGGATCTAATTCTCGTTATTGGCCTATGAGAGACTAAATTTGAATGAGTGGTTTTGTTCTTTCCAACGGTGAGGAGAAGCAGGACATGAGATGAGAGAGAGCGTTTGGTAAAAGAGATTTTATATCAATTCCAGTGTGCTCAATCATTTAAAGTGTTCGCTTAAACATTTAAAACCTTAGTTTAAATGTTGGGTTATTTCCTTTAATTTCCAGTGTACATCCTTGGCTTTTTTATTTGAGACTTTGGCTCTTTTATTAAAATACTTTGGCTTAAACGTTATCATCAGCTCACGTAGACTTTGATTGATTAATTCCTTAGGTTAAAATTTATTTGTTATCATCAGCTCACGTATACTTATTGATTAATTCCTTAGCTTATTGAAATTTATTTGTCCTCAATGAGATGCGAAGTTGTCAGCGTATCTAATTTGATTCCTTAACTTAAAATTGAAACTTTAGCTCAATTTTTAATCCCTAGCTTAATTGAAACCTTAGCTAATTGTTGCAATCCTTAGCTCATCTTGACTTCATTTGCTCACAGTTTCAAACCTTAACTCATTTTTAACTCCTTAGCTTGGTTTTTCAACGAATTTCCTTCAACAGCTTGAACTTTATTTGCTTCAAATTTCTTCCCTTGCCTGACTGAAAATATTTTTCTTCGACTAATTTTCTTGAATTCGTAAAATAAAAGTTATACGAAACAAAATAAAATAGGGGTCTATAATTTACACTTTTGACTCATCAAAATCTATATACAATTATTCCTTAAAGATTAGATCCCTTGTGCACACATGAAAACTAAAAATCATTCCTATCAACTTAATTTACCAAACATATTTTTATAAACTAGTCGACTCCACTAACTCAATCAGCTAACAACTACAGCATATTTACCAAATACCTATGTATATTTTCAAATTCTACTCCCATACATTGAACGGTAAATAATTAATGACATACAAAAGGTAAGAAAAAAATCCCCTATAAAACATTAATTTTTCTTTTTGCAACTAGGGAAAACACCAACACATACTCTATTGACATAAATTATCATTCTAAATTAATTATCTATAATAATATGTAAAGATGTTTGATGATTTATATCAACATTTGAATCTGATGCAACTTAGAGTTGCATCTTATCATGTTTCAAGAATTGTAATACTATTAACTATTTAAGTTATTTGTTCCTTTGTTGTAGGGGAATGTAACATTATTCCTATTATCACCCATACACTTAACACTACTACTTGGGTGCAAATGTTCAATGGTCATTTGTCATAAACAATAGCATAAAGATAAAGCAAACTCCAAAACGCAAATGGTGTTAACTAAGACATTAATGGAGAAACCTTCCATTTAAAGTTAAAAGTACCAGCGGCAAAACCAAAACAGTACTGAAACTCGTAACTGCATACTACAGTCTTGCAAAATTTGAATACCACAACACAAATGATACTTCCCATTGTCAAGTATGAAAATGAACTTAAACCTTGTATCCTCTGCTATTTCTCTTGCCTCTTGCCCTCTCAAACTTTCTTCCCTTGGCGCGCACATATGGCTTGGTGTGACTGTGTGGAACACCAGGAGCTGGACCAAAGTGCTTAACTGCTTCACGCGAATTCTTTGGACCTCTGAGCAGAACCTGTCAATGTCCAACAAAAAAGGCACCCAAATCAGACCATGATCTTAGTAGATGCAACCAAAAAAAAAAAAACGAGAAGATGTTTCACTCGTTAAAATCTAAAATCAGTGAAAATCGAACATGATTCACAAGACACATTTAGACATTAATCACACCCTTGTCTGATTATTTAGAAGGAATAGAGCATGTAAGTGTATTTTGGGATACAGCCATAAAAGATAGTGGGCATTAATGGGATGGTAAGGGTCTTTGCCAAAGATCTTAAATGTTAATTAGAAGACATTATAATTCTAAAGGCATTAAAAAAAACAAATTTTGACAAGAATACTTATATTAATCACCATAAACTCAAATTCTAATCACTCCATCTCACTCTAATTTACTGCAGAAACTATCAAACCCAGTGAATCTAGATATTTCCTCAATATAAAATTATCACAACATTAAACAAGCATTTTCAATAATTCAACAATGCTACAGATGTTAATGTCAAAGAGAAAATTACAATAACATAAGCCGACAGTTACAGGTATCAAATTATTTACCGTGTTCTGTCCCAAAGGAGCCCGAAGAGCAAGCTGATCAAACGTCAAGCATTCACCACCAGCCTTCTCAATCCTAGCCCTTGCGGTTTTGGTGAACCTCAGAGCACAGACCTTCAATGCTGGGACCTCGTAGGCTCTCACATCATCCGTGATAGTACCCACCAGGACAGCAATCTTGTCCTCCTATAGACACAAACCAAAACATAACAAAATCAATAAACCTGAAAGCCAACCACCAATTGCGTACATTGGCACACCCAAATATGAGCACACAAAGGGAATACCTTTCCAGACGTGAAAGAGATCAGCCTTGAGAGAGACAGTGGAGGCTTGTTGGTCTTGCTCATAAACAGACGCTTCAGAATCACAGCGTTGAACTTGCTTCCGGTCCTCCTCACCAAAAATCGGTAAAGCTGTGCCAAATAAACCAATACTTCAGGCACAAATACAAAAACACAAACAAATACACAAATATGCGTGTGCGTTTGAGATACACATAAACATAAGACAAAAATGCATAGATATATGAGAAAGAGAGGTCGAATAGGACCTTCACGAGAAGCTTCAAGTAAACATCGTCGGACTTGGGAGCTGTGCGCTTCGTCTGCTTGCTCTTACCTCCGGCTTTCAGATCGATACCCTACAGCGATGAAAATCAATGTCAGAACACAGCTTAAAGGGGAGAAATAGAGGCGACTGAGATGAAGGATTACCATGGTGGAGCGCCGCTGGAGTGGTGGCTTCGGGGAAAGGGGGAGGGGGAATGGGGAGAGCGACTGGGGATGATCGGCTCTGCTATACTTACACCGAAAATGAGACGAAACTAGGGTTTTTAGAGTGTGATTTTAATAGGTTTTTTATCCCATAGTGGACCGGCCCATCAGCCCATATAAAATAAAACGTACGAGTCCTAATACGCACAAGGAGAGGGAAAACTCGCAGACGTTATGCCATGGAACCGTGTTCACCATTCATGGCGAACACGGTTCCAACGGTGTTAGTGCATCGTTATCTTCTTTTTTTTTTTTAATTAATTACGTGACTGCCTACACATTCACTTTGGAATCATGCCTACACATTCACTTTGGAACCATGAGATTATGAATTTTCTGTTATGAGATTATGAATTTTCAATTATGAGATTATGAATTTTCTGTTATGCGATTATGAATTTTCTGTTATGAGATTATGAATTTTCATTACATTCATAATTTCGGAGTTTCGGACATTCATAAATTATGAATTCATGCATGCACATTCACTTTGGAACCATGCCTACATATTCCCGTCCGAAATCACGGACATTCATAAATTATGAATCCATGCCTGCACATTCACTTTGGAACCATGAGATTATGAATTTTCTGTTATAAGATTATGAATTTTCTGTTATGAGATTATGAATTTTCAGTTGTGAGATTATGAATTTTCTGTTATGCGATTATGAATTTTCTGTTATGCGATTATGAATTTTCATAAAATTCATAATCTCATAACAGAAAATTCATAATTTGATCAGTAACGCGCCGTTAACTCCACATCCGCGATTTTTTTTTTTGGCCTAAAAACGACGTCGTTTTGACTTGTGTTCACCATTCTCGGTGAACACGATTCCACGGCATAATTTGCAGAAAACTCGAAAGACCAATAGTTATCCTGTGCAACCCCCATGCATGGTGCATACGATTGCAAAAGGACATCGTTTTGACTAAAAATGTGCGTTCAATTTTTTAAAAAAATATCAGTTTTGATTTCTCTCAACAGTATTATTGTGGATATATAGTTATAAATTTGTGGATATATAGATATAAATTTATGGATATTTAGTTCATTCATTGTGGATATTTAATTCATTCATTCTGGATTTTGTGTTATTCATTCACTGTGGATATATAGTTATGAATTTGTGGATATATAATTTAAATTATGCACAAAAAAAATGCTATTACTGGGAATCGAACCTGAATTTTTTTTTAAAAGTGAGACGCGCGTTTTTAGTCAAAACGACGTCGTTTTTGCAACCGTGTGCACCATGCATGGTACACACGGTTGCACAGCATAATTTGCGTCGAAAGACCTAAACAGGACTGTTATGTCATGGACCTATGTCCACTTTGGATACGAGTCCAATACGATGCCATTTTGCAATTCGAGAATAATGGTGTCGCCAGGGACGGAGTCAAAGGGGGGCAGGGACACTTTCCCCCATCACCCCACCCTCACCCCATATATAATCTTTGTATGTATATATGTATATATGTATATATAATATAGGTTTTAGTATTAGTAAAAAAAAAAAAGAAAATTATTAAATGTTAATAAGAAATGAGTTAGATTAGTTGGTAGAGCACATATTTAGTAATAGGATAAGTCTTGGGTTGGAATCCTTCCTTATTGCGACATGTGTATATATATAACATTTTTTTATATTAATAGTGAGATGCGTAATTTATAATGTGTTTTCTATTTAAAGTATTTTATCAAATTAATTATGTTTCATATTTTGTTATGAATATTGTTAAATAATTTTTTGATGTGTTTTATTTTTTGCACATATCCAACAATATTTACAACTATATTTCTTAGGTAATGATTATTAAAAAAAAAAAAAGACTTAGGTAATTTTTTTATTTTTTTATTATCTCTTTTGTTTTAATGTTTCGCTTTTACTGGAAAAAATTTCTGAATCCGTCTCTACTTCTTCGCCCCCCTCAACCGAATTTCGGGCTCCGTCCCTGGGTGTCGTTAATAGCATCGTTTTCCCTCCACCAATCGAATTTTTTAAAATAAAATTTGTCAAAAGAATTCAGTGACGTAAAAAATTGTGAATATAGAGTTCTGCAGTTGTGAATATGGAGTTTAAGAATTATGAATATAGAGTTCAAAAATTATGAATATAGAATTCTATAATTATGAACATAGAGTTCAATAATTATGAATATAGAGTACAAAAATTATGAACATAGAGTTCAGTAATTATGAACATAGATTTCTAGGGTTCAAAAATTATGAACATAAAGTTCTATAATTATGAATATAGAGTTCTGTAATTGTGAATATAGTGCTCAATAATTGTGAATATGGAGTTCAAAAATTATGAACATAGAGTTCTATAATTATGAACATATAATTCAGTAATAATGAACATAGACTTCCTGAAGACAAACGTCATTAACGGTGAAAGAAGGTAATTTTTTAATTGATACGGTATCATTTTTCACCAAAATGACGTTGTTTTGAAACTGTATCCGCAACATAGTTTGCCAGCATAACGATTAACGAAATAGTTGGGCTTGTAGACTTGTTTCAATTGTTAGGTACGTTGGAATTGTATATAGAGATGATTTTTTTTTTTTTTTGAGTTAATTCTATTTTTTTGTTTTAGATTTATTGGTGGTAATTCATTTTTAGTTCTTTTTTAAAAAATATTCTTTTTTGGTCTTAGTATTATTGCTTGGCACGGGTTTTAACTCAATGGTTTAGTAGGTAGTATTTGGGAGAAGAAACTAAGGTTTGAACCTCAGTGGCAGCAGTGTGAGAATTATGCTCAAAGTGGACAGATCCCTTGTGAGTACCAGCATCTAACCCTATCTGCTGAGCCATTGAGTCTCCGTGATTTACGTCCTTCTAAATGCTTTGTCGGGCCGGAGTATAAGGGGTCCTTGGGTTTGGGAGTAGTTATGTTGTGCAACCGTGTCAGTTGCAAAAACGACGTCGTTTTGACGTCCAACTTTAAAAAAAAAAAAAAAAAAAACAGTTTCGATTGACGTTAACGGCGTTATGTTGTGTATAATTTGAACTATACATCCATAACTTCATAACTATACATCCAGAATTGCATAACAACTACACATCTATAACTTCATAACTATACATTCATAATGTGAAATTATAAAATTATGAACATATGTTTATGTAACTATCGGCAATCGAAAATGATTTTTTTAAAAGTAAAACGACGCCGTTTTTGCATCCGTGTGCACCATGCATGATGCACAGCATAATTTGCCTGGGTTTGGGAATTCGATCAACCTTTTGGGAGAAGTATTATTGTGGCATGACCACTTGTTTATCCTCAATCAACAAAACTGTTTATAAATTCAATAAAATATAAGGACATTTGAGTCTTCAATTATGATATATTTCAAAAAAAAAAATATATATATATATAGCGGACAATCCACTTTGCATAAAAACATATCGACTTTGTTGACGGCGAACCAAAAAATAATCATGCCACAATAATACTAAAATCAAAAAGAAATATTATAAAATAGAAATACTAAAAATAAACTGTGACCTATAAATTTATTACCCAAAATGAAATTAACTCTTTTTTTTAGATTAATAGGAGGAACCAGAGATCCAAATTAGCATTTTGCTCAAAACTCAAAAGGACATTCCTCAATCTAGCCGCGCCCAATTTATCCTCTGCTATATCTTGGGCAACTGGACACACCAAACACCCCTCTATTTGGATAGCCAACTTTGTCAATGAGTCCTCACGATATGATTCTGTTCGCGGTAAACATGATTAATCATAATCTCCTTTGATTTGATTAATCATAATCTCCTAATTCTTCTTAAAAGGTTAAATCTCCAATCTCAATGGAGCAAATTATGCTATGCAACTGTGTGCACTATGTGCACTATGCACACGGTTACAAAAATGACGTCGTTTTGAGAGGTTGCTCCCACATTACTACCGATGAGACTTGATCTCTGATCATTCTTTTCAAACTTAACCCCTGTAACCAATTATGCTGCTCATGCGAGCATAATCTCCTAATTCATATTCAGCCATTCCTTGCAGCATCTAATAATGTTTTAAATATGAATGACAATTTCGATCCGCTCCATGGATGTCCATCTCGCATGGATCAGATTTTTTTGAGTGATGATGGTGATGAGTTGCGCAAATTATGCCCTGGAAACGTGTTCACCGTGAATGGTGAACACAAGTCCAAACGACGTCGTTTTTACGTAAAAAAAAAATAAAAATCGCGAATGTGGAGTTAACGGCGCGCGTTTGATCAAATTATGAATTTTCTGTTATGAGATTATGAATGTAATGAAAATTCATAATCTCATAACAGAAAATTCATAATCGCATAAAAGTAAAATATTTATTAAATTATGAATATTCTGTTATGAGATTATGAATGTAATGTAGATTCATAATCTCATAACAGAAAATTCATAATTTCATAACAGAAAATTCATAATTTCATAACAGAAAATTCATAATTTCATAACAGAAAATTCATAATCTCATAACAGAAAATTCATAATCTCATAACTGAAAATTCATAATCTTATAACAGAAAATTCATAATCTCATGGTTCCAAAGTGAATGTGTAGGCATGGTTCCAAAGTGAATGTGCAGGCATGGATTCATAATTTATGAATGTCCGTGATTTCGGACGGGCATGGTTCCAAAGTGAATGTGCAGGCATGAATTCATAATTTATGAATGTCCAAAATCATTGCTCACCTCAAATTAGAGTGAAACCGCGAAATGTGAAAATGAATAAGAAAAGTCACGCAATTAATTAAGAAAAAAAAAAGAAAAAAAAAAAAAAGATAACGGTTTACTAACACCGTTGGAACCGTGTTCACCATGAATGGTGAACACGGTTCCATGGCATAACGATTGGATGAGTTGAGAGTGGGTCTTAAAAATTTAAACTTACAGCGAATCAAGTTGAATTTGGATCCATATATATATATATATATATATATATATATATATATATATATATATATATATATATAATAGTAAAATAAGTACTAATATGTAGTTTATTATAAAAATTTCTATAATTTTTTTGAACTTTT